GCGAGGGTCCTACATGGCGCGCAGACCTCTCCTGCTGCCCGCAGCTCCCCTCAGCAGTGTACTTCGGTCCTTCTGCCTATTCTGCTTCCCGCTCTGGCTCTGGTGAATTCTCTCACCCTCCTGCGCTTCTGACTGTACCCAGTCCTTATATAAATAAATAAATCTTTAAAAAAAAATTATAATTGCTCTTTGATTTCTAAGGCTTGTCTGAATTTTACAGTGTTACAGGGTGAGTTAGCATTAAATCAGTTATCACCAGACTAGTCTACAGAAAAATGTAGTTATTTCAGTTTTCTGGTTATTTGAATTCTAGGTAAATGGGAATTTAATATAATGATTAATAATTGTACTATCTACAAAAGAGTTTCCTTAGTATTGTCACATGTTTCACATGTGATATATGATATATGATCATTCCAAGGCTCCCCTTTTTACCCTCCTTTATTAGAGGAAACTCCCCAAGGTCTGATCTAGGGTCTGCTGCTTAATCAGTGGAAACACTGAGAACAGAACTCAGGGGTCCATGATACCTGTTTCAGGCCCCACACTATTAATAGACAGTGGTTGTCTGAAAAACTATGTATTCTGACACAAAGTTCTACAAGATAGGGGCTATTTTTGCAGACAATGTATCAGAAAAAGAGAAGTTATTGAATATGTAGCAAGAAGAAGCAATCCAGCACAACTCCATGTTCACAAGTTCTTACTACATGCTACTGAGTCTCTTAAAAAAATAGATACAATAAATGCAGTAGTTAGAGAACAAATACATCCTGAAATCTCCCCAGTCCTGGAAAAATATGGAAAGGTTCTTCCAGACACTTCTACAGCATCATCCACAAGGCCAGACCAGAGGATCATCACAGGGTCTCCTCTTCTGTAATGCCAAGCTCCTCTGACCTTTGGCCGCCCACCTGTCATCTCTTGCTCTTCTCTCCCCCAGCTTTACACCTCAAGTTTCTCATAGCATGCTGCTACCGGACTGCACCTACTCCTCCTCGTTTCTGAATAAACTTGTTTGTAAAAGAACACAGCCACTAAAACATCAGAATTTCCACAGAGTGGAGGAATATATGTTATTTACTTGATTCATTTCTTAGGATAGATATTTAATTCTAACTTCACACCTAGAGGTTAAAAGTCTGATTAACAATTCACCCTCTTCCACCCCACCAAGTCAGTGTCATTTCTGACTGAAATGCCCAACACCAAGTGAAAGGCTATCTTTACTAACTTTGAATAGCTATGTATTAATGATGATAATTAAACTAAACTACTTTTATTTCTTTTTAGGAAAAATAGTTTACAGCATGATTGCCACAAAGTCTATCCCCTTGCTTCAGCATAACTCTTAATTATTCATCATACTGTTTATTAAATTCACATCAGCACACAATTACTCTTCCTAAAGCTCTGACCACTAATCATTCCATTGCTACTTTGGCTTTCGGTTTCTATCCTATTCCTCAAATTCGGTACCTCTCGATAGGCTCTAAGAGAGTAAAGGCAAGGCGGAAAAAAAAAATCATTTTTACGAAAGCTTGTGTTTAAGAGTAGACTACCATAAAAGGTTTTGGATCAAAATACTCCAGGGAATGCATATCTCAAGAGATGAAGGAGATAACCTTATCTTTAAAACTGGGAGGACAGACGAGATTGGTGATTCCTAGAATAGATTCCCAAAACCAAGGGCACTTTTAAAACCTGCAGATTCCTAGACACCATACCAGATTTTATTGTGGTAGAGGATCTCAAGGCTGTATCCTCTAAAATAACATTTTTCTCTATTTTACCAAAGTAAGCTGCATCTGATGGAGTTGGAGAAGCAATCAATACCATCTCCATATCTGTGCTCTCCAGCCTCAAGTTTCTGCCCACCTTCCTCAATGTCTGTTCTACCAAAACTTTTATTCATCTGCCCTCTGGTCCTAATCAGTGCCCCATGTGTATACCTCCCAGGAGAACAGTGGCAAGGGTAAGGCACTTGCAGGGTACCAAGGTGCGCCAACTCTGTCCCAAAAAACAACGGCTTCTCTTCTTTGAACTTTAGCCACTCAGGGTAGTGCCAAGAGTGATTTTTTTTTTTAATTGCAACTATCGTGTACTTTTATCAACACAGAAAGGGCCCCCAAATTGCAAAGGAAAGCTACTGTTACAGCTATTCAGCATTCTTAGTCACTACAAGTGATCCTCAAGAAATTGAAAAATTATCTTGGCTTGAATAAATAATATGTTCACATGCTTAAAAATTCGGAAATGTACTAAATAAATGTCCTTCCCAGCCCCACCCCAAACACTCTATTTTCTTTCTCAGAGGCAATCACTGTTACCTGTTTCTTAGATAACCTTCCAGAGATAGTCTTACATTTGTAAACATAAACATTTATTTTATAAGCTGGTGTTTAACACCTTCTACTATTTTGCATTTTGACTTGTTTTCTTGTTATAGCAATCATTCCATCAGGAAACAAATATACAATGATCTCTCTTTTTTTTTTCCTTATTGAGGTAATACTGGTTTACAACACTGTATATGATTTAGAAGTATAGGCTCTCCGCCCCCCTTCCAGGTATTGTTACCATACCACACTCACCACAAAACATCCATAGTCCTCCACCATAGTCTACTGTGCTCCCTCCTCACTTTGTTCTCTACTTCCCCTTGCTCTTCTGGTAGCCTCAGTTCTAAAGTCAGATTTCTATGGTTTGTTATTTACTTGATTGTATCTGGCCCTTTGTTTTCTTTCTCTATACTCCACATGTAAGTGACACCATTCAGTATTTTGTCTTTCTTCTTATGATTAGGCTCCCTTAGCATAATCTCCTCCAATTCCATCCATGCTATAGCAAATGGCAAGAGTTTATCTTTATTTTTCATAGCTGGGTAGTATTCCATTGTGTATTTATACCACATCTTCCTCATCTACTCATCCATTTGAGGGCACTTAGGTTGTTTCCACAGCTTGGCTGTTGTAAAGAGTGCTGCAATGAACACAGGAGTGCATATATCCTATCGAATTAGGTTTTTTGGGTTTTTTTTTTTTTTGCATTCTTTGGGTAGATACCTAGGAGGGCATTGCTGGATCAACTATATAAGTTTAGTTTCTGCACCTAATTTATTTAACCAATCCCCCTGTGATGGATATTTAGCTCTAATTCTTCTATCATTACAGGCAATATTGCAATAGATGTAATATTCATTTTGTGGTATAAATGTATGCCTGAAGAAAAATTTCTTAGACTCTATGGAATGAGAAGGTGAGTGAATTTTAATTTGGGCAATATTGCCAAATTGGCTGTCCATAGTTGTCATACCATTTGTACCTTTATCCACAGTGCATGAGCCTTTCAGTTGCCCAAAATACTTGCCACCATAAAATATTAATGTGTTGATCTTTGCCAACTTAATAGAGCTTAAAATTGTATTTATCTTATCATAAATTGAACATAATTTCCTATTTGTAAATGCCATGTAGAATTCATTTTATGTGAACTGTTTATTCATTTTCTTTGCTCCCTTTTTTCTACCAGATTAACAGTCATTTTTCTTATTGATGCATAGGAGCTCTTTGGATATTAAGGAGCTACTCCTTATCTTTGATAAGTTATAAATAATTTCTTAACAGTATGCTGGTGTTTATCTTCTGCCTGTCACATGTATCTTTTCTTAAGTGGGGTTTAATTTATTAACCCTTTATCTTACACCTTCTACATTCTTCACAATGTTTAAGCTTTTCTTTTTTACGTATAGAGAGACATCTTCTCTATTATCTGATCTCCATAAACTTTCAGATTCACATGTTTATTTTCTCTGCTAACACTTTTTGAAATGAGACTGGAAGACGAGCTGGGATATAAAATCCATCTACTTCCTTCCTTGACCTCCCTATTCAAGGAGTTCTTGTGTATTCCACTCTCTCCTCCATTGCCGCCTTCATGGGGTTTCACATAAACCCTACATTTGCTTGGCCTACCTCAGAGATCACATTCTTTTTATAGTTCTTGCTTCAATTTCAAGTTTACTGAGATCAAAAGGAATTTCAGTAATGTCTTTTCAAAATCAACATGCCATTCAAAATGTGCTACTTTTTCTATTCTAAGGAAATTATAGAACAAAAACTGTTCAGATTTGTTGCCTGATGGGGTGAGAATATGCAAAAACTTGTCTAGCTGCTACAGATAAACAGAATGCAAAAATGTTATCATAATTTAAATCAAAATCAGAAATTTGACTATATTTCTAGAAAGAATGTGTAACAAAATTTTACTTTAATGTTACTTTAGTTACTTTATTCTACAGACTTTAGTAGTTGATAACAGTTTGTTATTGTGTCAACATTCTATTATGTATAAAAAACATCAAACATCTTGAAATTTATGATAAAACTTGGGCACTGGCTTAGGAGAGGTGAAATAAAGCTATTGCTGGAAATTGAGGCCAGGTTTATTTTAGGTTTGATTTTTGGAAAAAAAATTCTAAAAATACACTGCTGTTCTTCCTTCTACTTCCACACTCTTTTCAGTGGGATAGGTCTGTCTCAAGAGCAACAGTGAGAATTGCCTAAATAAGATGCAAGATAAAAAAAGTAAAAGTTGATGTTAATTCCTGACTCAATTTCATTTGTATTGTGGTTTTCTCACATAGTATCATGTGGAAAGAGAATGCCAAGGAGAAAAGAGAGAGAAGTATCTAACACAAGACAATGTTCTTTATCCCTTTTTGCCCACGGAGTTAAAAGACAAGTTATGGGTATCAAAATAGCAAAGAGTGAACAATATAATGATATTTGTAGTGTTACTCCTCTCATCATACCCTCAAACCTAAACCATTTCACTTTCTACACTAGCTGCTGAAGGGGAATGACAGAAAGGAAGCTCAGAATCTCACTGCAGAGGTGACAATTGGTTCATTTTCTCAATTACTTTACCCATAATTTAAGAAAAAACTTTCTTTCCTGTCACTACCAATAGCAAGTAAAGTAAATTATCTGGCACATTACCTCCTCGCTGTATTTGCACATGGGCTAGTGCTTCATGGGGCAAGTCCTTGGGCCTCAGCTTTCCCACCTGGAAAAGGAGAGAGTTTGCAATAGGTTTTTTTTAACTTTTCAACTCTAATATCTTATGACTCTAATATAAAGACCACTCAAGCATCAGCACATCAAACAAATACAAGTATTCTCAGTGTCTGGGTATTTTCTTCATGTATTTTATAAAGTGACAAAAAGCTTTTCTTGAGCAACAAAAAGAAAACCATAATCCACCATCTCTAAAGAGAAGATAATTTCTGGTATATTAATCGTGAGTTCTTTATAGCCAATCTCATTAACACTGGTGAAACATTTAAATGACAATCTGCCAAGTTTTATTTAAGTGTTATTTAAACTTATTTTTGCTTTAACTTATTTACTTATTTAAACTTAGAGTTAAGTCACACACTTAAGTCACACACTTAACTCTCTCTCTCTAACCCAATTACATAGTCCTGGATATTAAGCTATTCGGGTTGCCCTCCTTTCTAGCTCTGCCTTCTGTCAACTTACCATAGATTTTCTGAGACAGTGGACCTTTCAGATAGCATTTCCTCACACAGGGCAGATTTTTGCTTTCAAGTAATTGCCAAAGCACTGTCAGAAAGAGACATTGGACTTTATGTTCACCATCTTGTTAGCATAATACTTACAATTTATGTTATGATTTTAATCTAAGTATACCCATGCAAGGTGAACACAAACTCACTACAGAATGGGTTCATCTAGCCCACAAGAAACCTCATCTTGAGACCATCATGACTCAGTATTCTCAACTCCCGATAAAACTCAGTCCCAGGCCTTGCAGGTTTGTTCTCTCCTTCCAGGCCCAATGTCCCCCCAGCAGCCATGCACCACTAGATCCTCTGTCAAGCCAAGAAGCATCCTAGCTTGATCCCTTCTTTGTACTTATTAGAGCTGAAAGTAGAACTGTAATGTATGCTATGGGCCTGGCTTTGTTCAATCCAGATATCAAGTGGGACATCATAAAGAATAACCCAGAACCCTAGAACAAACTGGGTCCTAGTGATCACCAGAAGTTCTACTCAGTGAATGTGGTTTATAGAGAACTTGAGAAAGATGGTTAAGACGTCTAAGTGAAATATTTCATTATAAAACTGCTAAAAATGAAGGTCTTCCAGAAGCCATCTGCACAATTTTCCACTTAACCAGGAATGATTTCCCCTCCACATGAATATAATCATGTTGATGATTTGTAATGAGATTTACACTGATTAATAAATATCCGAAACTTGGAAGAAAAAAAACCAAACCCAAGTTGAATCTCTTAATAAAATTGGATCTTTTAATAAACATTCATCTTTGTCTACTTTCTATTTTACCTTTAAAAATTTATTCAACACTAAGTCACCTTCCATTCCTAACAAGTCTCAATTCACTTATCCATCTGTCCCTTCCCTGATGCCTGTCCTTACCTCGAGTAAGTCCTTTTAAAGCCTTCTACTTTTAGAAAGCCAATAAAGTAGGACTACATCTCAAGGGTTCTTTGCAAGGTCTGCCTTTCCCCAAAAAAACACTCTCAATTCAAGAAGGTTTAAACATAAATCTAGAGAAAATTTAGAGAACAAGAAAAAAACCAGATATCCATGCAAGTTCTAAAATCAAAATCAGATCCACCCCACCCACATGCATACATATTGAACACGATTTCATTTTTTGGTAGAGTCTGTCCTGAGCAGACCCTTGAGGGCAGACATACACATGGCCCAGCACTTAACACTATGTCCGGCTCATGTTAGGTGTTCAAGAAATGCTCACCAAATGAAAAAGAAAGCACTTCTTGATATGCCCATGTCACTTTCATATGAGACCCACAGACCCCAGTCACCAACCTGTAAACTGAACAGATGGCGCAGAACTGGCTCCAAGAACCAAGCTAGAACAGCAACTACTAGTTTCAGTAACTGACATGTACGTTACATTGGTTATCCCTAAAATTTACATTTTTTTCTTTTTCCCCCCCTTTATTAATTTTTTTAATTTTTAACATTGCTGTGCATTTTTTTTTTAAGATTTATTTTTATTTATTTATACAAGCACTGGGTACAGTCAGAAGTGCGGGAGGGCAAGAGAATTCACCAGAGCCAGAGCGGGGAGCAGAAAAGGCAGAAGGACGGAAGTACACTGCTGAGGGGAGCAGCGGGCGGCAGGAGAGGTCTGTGTGCCATGTGGGACCCTCCTCCGGTGGCCGGGGAGCAGCTGGGGATCGAACCGGCGCTGCAGAGGCTGCGGGCAGCTTCGCAACCCAGCTGCGCCACCGGGGAGGCCCTTGTTCATTTTTATACAGGATTTGATTTCTCCCCTCAGGTATAGTCCCCCGAAAAATTCCACCACCACATCGCCTGTGAACTATCACCATGGTCCCTTATGTTCTTCCCACCCCTGTTTTGATTCATTTTCCTCTTGCTCCTTTGCTTTAAGCCTCAGATCTATAGTTGCCTACAAGTTTTGTCCTTTTTTTAACCCTTTGTTTTGTTTCCCTATATTTCTCCTATAAGTGATATCACCCAAAATTATTCTTTTTCCTTTTTCTTCTTCTTAATCCACTCTGGATTTTAAGTCATTAAACACATATCTAGTTAGGGAATATAAAGAATATGTAGTTGAAGTGAGGAATATGGATAAACATCCCTGAATAAGGAGATTTGTAGAGAATCTTAAACTTTCTTAGGAGCTTTTTGACAACTTCTGATTTCATTGGTAAGCAATAAGCTTTTTTTCCCTTGGGAGGTCTGTTTTGTTTTTTTATTTGGTTAAAGATGTTACCACATTTCCATTCAATTGCTTTTGGAACTACCAACAAGATGTTTTCCAAATCACTTTGCCAGGGAAAGGTGATTAAGAACTAGATTCTCTTGTAGAAAATTATATTGCTATCAATTAGTTTTTATCTCAGCTGATGAAAAATCAGTGAAAAAATAGTTAGAGATGACAAAAAGATGCCAAGAAATATAGGGAAAGTCAGGAAAAGAGTTTTAGAGTATGATGAGAAAATTCTGAAAACCTATCAAAATACTTACTAATTAAATAGCCAAAATGATACACAGCCAAAGTAACACTATATATTATTCCAGATTAGCTTTAGAAATAAAGAGCCTTTTATCCTGGTCCCCACAGGAAAGCATAACTAACTCTGATTATAATGAACAGAACTTAAAGAGGTGAAAATCTTTTCTCTTTTTCAAGGGGTAGGTCAGGAAATAAACATACTTGCCATTATCTTGCAACATTAGACCAGAAACAGTATGAAAACAAACATCATCCCTAAGAGTTCCAGTCCCTTAATCATATTTGGTTCCCTGCATTCATGTGAAGTGGCTATCGGTATCTTCATTTTAAATATGCGGTCACTGAGGATCAGAATTCTTTTTCCCCAAATCACACACAACTAACAAATTGTCAGGTGGGATCTGATTTCAACCCTTCTGATTATGATCCCAGTAAACTCTAAATAACATGAACCCTACCTCAACATCAATGCAAAAAACATCTCCTTTGCATCTTAACCCAGAAATCATTTACTATATTTACATTAGAAAATAACAAATAACAAATTTCCCTTGGCTTCCTTTACTTCTGTTCTGTTAGAAATGGTCTTCCTCTTCTTAGCAAGGTCACTTCTGGCTCATTCATCCTGCAGATCTCTATCACCAGTTCTTGGCAACTACTGCCAAAACACAGGGGCTGATGCTTCACCTCTCAAATGACACCTCCTGGGTCTTTTCCTATAGTAGCCAGTTCTGCTTATGGTGACCCTCCATTTTTCTCCTAACTTTAAAATGAGCACCGATCCATGCATGACCCTCTATCGTATTTTTGTTAATATAATGATCACCCATGAACTCACCACCAAAAGCAGGAACTGGATCATTAATTAGTAGTAACTTCCATCCGCCTGCATGTCCCTTCCCATGCCATCCCTTGTACCTCCCAAATGACAACTGCCATCTGAAGCTTTATGTGGATCACTGTCTTGCTTTAAAAAAAAAAAGTGTATTTCCATACTCATAAATATGAAAAAAAGTTTGTATTTGCTTATTTGTTTGCTTGTTTCCCCCTCTCATGTAAATTAGCACAAAAATTACAGAAAATAATTTGGAAATACCCAGCAAGCTGACTATGCAAACAAACTACAAGTCATAAGAAACACTAGCATGTACACCCCACAAAATATGAATGATCAGAGCAGCATTCTGTAATTTTTTTGAAACTAAAAAAAAAAAAACAAAAAAAAACAGTCACAGCAGGAGAATAGGGAAACATACTGTGTTACAGACTCATAATGCAATATTGTATAGCTGCTAAAGTCTGTGAACCACAAATATATACTACATGGGTGAATCTTAAGTCACATAACATCAAATAGGGAAGGGGAGGGAGGAAGTCCAGAAGGTAATAGATAGTATCAAATTCCTTTTTCAAGATTAAAAAAAAAAAAAAACTTTAAAAAGAGTATTATAATTATTAACTGCCCTTTTCATTTAAAAAATTTTAAAAAAAATCTCATTTTTGAGAATTCATGCCTTGTCCTCCCAAACCAGACTACTCACTCTAAGGACAAGGACATCTTTTTACTCTTATTTGTATCTGCGGCAGTGTCTAGACCCATATCTTGAACAGACAGTTGCTCGATAAGTAATTATCTACTGAAAGCTACCTAACCAAGGCTTTTTAATAAAATTGTAATCTTCTCCCTAATCCAACAGCTTCATGTAAAGACACATACAACTTTTCTCTACTGATGCATTTACCTAATTCTCCTTCTGCAGTGCTTCTACAGATTTCCAACCACAAATACTTCTTCTTAGAAGGACTCTCCCTTTCTTCTTGGAATAAAGTTAACACAAGGTTAAAGCAATCTAGAGACAAAAAAAAAAAAAAAAACAAAAAAACCCGTACAGGAAGGAACCCTGTAAAAGTCCAAAGAATCATATAACTGATCAACCATCATCGTCTGCAACTGAGGTATCCTCATGGGAAACTATGCATAGAATGTGTAACTGAATTATCTACATGACAACTAAAATATCAATATAAGTAAAACCAAGAATTTTAGACATTCAGAAGCAAAAGATTTTAATTTCAAGATATTTTGTTTCTACTTTCAAAAAAAAATTTTTAGGGGGAAACATAAAATCCAACATAAAAGAGGAATAATATTCCACCAATCAAGGCCCTCCTTATAACCCAATGAGGACTATGCATATTCTCTGTGGGTGATTATAGCTGAGTTACACTGCAGCTTCCCTTCGACCTTGGGAACTCTGCTCTCTCCCAGTTTCTGTGAGGTCTTCTGTTTCATTTATTATTAGTCTTTGTATCTGCAATGCTGTAGTGTTTGGTAGGACTATCAACACTGTGAGCTTGCAGTACCTAAAGCTGTAGAAATGCTTCTAAAAAACAAACGCGGAGGAGGGAGGGGGGATATATACATATGTATATGTATACGTATATACATACAAAACCAAGAAGAAAACAAAGTTAATGGCATTGCCGTGGGATATTTTTAAATTTCACCTTTGAAGAAAACCTACATTTATTTATCACACAATGATTCATTAGCAAGCTTTTTTTTTTAATTTAAAGAAAAGATATTCAAGAAAAATTATCTTGTTATTTGGGGAAAAGACAACTAAATCTAATACACAATTTGCTAAAACTAGGCCATTGATTTCAAAATGTAAATTCTTACCTAAGGGGCAGGGGGCACCTTATAGGACTTTGCGTCCGGGAGAAAGAAATCATCTGGCAACCCAGTGTGTTCACTTAGTTTCGTGTCATTTGCTTCATGTCCATTATGTAATGCTTTCTCCAGCTTTAGATTCTCTGTTTAAGCTACCGTTCAAGTGTATCACACAATTACCACAAAATCAGCGTCTGGCTATAACTTTCAAAAACAGCTTTAAAGGTGTCATGCAGATGTGTCTATACACAGTAGAAGCTTTTTAAAAAATCTGCTGGTGTCATTACTTCCTCCCGGCTTCCCCCCTAGGTCTCCAGCCCTTCCTCCCCCAGCATCCCTGGCGACACGATCTGCGGGCAGCTCCCGGCTCATTGCAGGGGGAAGCACGTCTTGACTGCAATGCAAACCCTGTCCCGGGCTGAACCTGAGAAGCAGGACTGGGCCCTGGCCGCGGGTGTGGACCCAGGCTGCAGGCGAGCTGCAGGGGCGCCAGCAGCGGGCGGGCAGGGGTGCCCCGCGAGGGCAGTCCGCAGTGCACGCGCACAATAAAACCCAATGCACAACTTCCCCGGCCGCTCCTCGCTCGGCTTCCCGGATTCCCTGAAAGGTGCGGCGTAGGCGTCAGCCGGCGCGGGCGAAGCGCTCTCAACCGCGCGGGTTCGGTTCTTGGCTGACAATTACATCAGTCCTTCGCCCTACCCGAGCTTCCATCCCCAGCAGCCTGGAGGAGCCGGGGCGCCGGGCAGCGCGGGGGGATGCGGGTGCGAGAGCCAGGAGGCCGGAATTCCCCAGCAACGAGGGGGAGGGGAGGGCGATGAGCCGGGACCGTGACCCAAACGCCCCCTCCCACCTCGGCTGCAGGGCTGAGCTGCCCCCGCCGCCCGCGCCGCCCGGCCACCCGCACTATGCGTCTTGGGGAGCCCGGGCAGAGGAAGGGGAGCAAGCCTCAGGGGCGCAAAGCCGAGGCTGCCTCCCCGTACGGCTCCCGGGGTCCTCGGCCCTCCGGACGCGCACAATGCCGCCGGGCCGCGGTCCGGGCAGCATCGTGTCCACTCCGAGGGTCCCTCTGCAGCCAGGACACCCACCTGGAAGGCAAGCGGTGGCGCCGCCGAGTCTGCGGCGGCAGCGGCGCGAGGCGAGAGGCGGCCGGGGTGGGTGGACCGGGAGCGCGGGCTGGCCCGGGAGCCGGGCGCGGGCGCCGCCTGCGCGGAGCGCGGTCTCCAGCACCGGCAGCGGCGGTGGCTGTGCGGCGCCTCCAGTGGTCTGCGCGCCGCAGCCCCTCCTCTCCCACGGGCGGGGCGCGCTGCTGGGGCGGTGCTCCCGGCTCCCCGCCCCCGGCTCCCGCGCGCCCGCCAGACCGGAGGGGAGCCGCGGGCGGCTGGGGCTCCCGCAGCGCCCCAGCTAGGCGCCCGCCCTGCGGGGCTCCCCTACCTGCGCCGCCCGGAGAGTCGCGAACCTGGCACGCCGAGCCGCTGAGACCGGGGTCCCTCTGAGAGCGCCCGGGCCCTAGGACAATCCCCGCTGTCCAGGGATCACCGCTGGGGAGACTGACCTGGCAGCTCCGGGCCTGAGAGCCATAGAAGCGCCCTCATTCGCCCAGGCCAGCAGAGTTGGCCGCCCGGCTCGTGAAGGGTGCCCCCGAATGACTCCAGCGGTGGGGGCCTGGAGCGCAGCCGCTCTGAGCACTGTGGGAGAACGGATGCATAGGGGGATGGCAGCCTGGCGGCCTCCCGGGAGGCGCTGCCAATGCCCTGTCTTGAGGCCCGTCATTCGGGCAGGTGCATGAACATTCAGGACTCTGTGTGTGCCTTTCCCTCGCCGACCCTCATGTCCGGAGCAAAAACTTACCAAACCCAGAATAACACTTGGCTTTGGTTGCTTAAAAAAGAAAAGAAAGGGGCAGCAATCCCACTGCCCACCTGTAACTATGCAGGTGCTTCTTTTCACCAACTCTCCTGCAGGGCAACAGCCTCCTGCCTTCCCGTGACCTGTAGGTCTCTTCACTGACCTCCTACAGTGGAGGCAGCTCTCCCCAAGGCTGCCAGCCTGCAACCATGCAGGCCTCTCTTAGCAAACCTGTTCCTTCTGGGCAGCTCTTCCTGCCCACTTGTGTCTATACAAGTGTACTTTTACTTTTCTGTCCTTTTCCCCAATAAACCTGCTCTTTAAATGAAAAAAAAAAAAAAAGAAAGAAAGAAAAGAAAGGGTCGATAGCTTAAAACCCCAACTTAAAGTCTACCACCCTTAACCCCTATCCCCAGTCTATGCCATGAACACATTCATCTAAAGGCAAATTTGCTGAGAAGGATGAAGTTAAATATTTACACAGACATTTCTTCTGTAAATAGGTGCTGAGGAAATGACAGAAGTATTTCAAGACTGTTCTGTCATAACCAATTTCAGAGGGGAAAAAAATCCAAAGAACTTTGATTGAGCCTAACAGAATCATTAGAGAAACAGTATCAAGCTGCTTTGCGGCCTCTCCAGGGGTCCAAGTTTGATGTGATGAGTGAGGAGGAAGAGGTGCCTTCAAAATTGAATGTGTTGCTACCCACTGAGACAACACTGTGGCATTTTACTGATAAAATCTTGATTTGTGGGAAATATAGTCAACTAACTACATGCGCTTTTCCCAGAGTTTATCAAAATTTCCAATCTCCAACCTTTTGAATAAGCTTTTCCATCCTGATTCTCATATGGTGGTGTCATAAAATAATAGATGCTGGACCCCTGACACACTTAAGTTTCCCCTTAACTCCTTCTGGTGAAGACAGTCTCCTCAAGGAAGGCCAGGGGCCATGTTCACCTGTTGGATAGTTCCTGTTTCGCCTTCCATCAAGTGTTCCATTGACAGAAACTCTCTACAAAATCAATCTCTGGATTTTAAAGAAAAAAAAAACATAAATAAGAAAACACGAAAGTGTGAGAGAAGAGAGTGCACACAGTCTTTAACTTAAAGAAGTACATCTGAAAATTCTTCACTGAACCTCTAATACCAGAAAACCATTGAGGAGGTGAAACTACCACAACCAAAATGTCATGTTTTACCTTAAGAATGCTTACACACTTTTTACTCTATTCTATAGTATATATGGGCTTTATTTTTTTAAATAAATTTTGAATATCAGGAAAAATGTCTCCTACCTGTCTTATTGATTAATGATCAAATAAGACTTCATGACACTACATCCATCCATTTAGGGAAATGGGTGAATTAAAGAGAGCTGTCACTACATGCCAAGGTATTTTCTCCACTCGGCATCACAATATTTTGGAAACTCAGCCTGACATAAATAAGTAAATCACAGGCTTTTCACAGCTTTTGGAGCTATGGCAGGGTTATTGCTCAGAAGTTAACAGAGACCAACGCTCTCATGAAGTGTATTTTCTTGCTGAGAGTTTGTCACAGTCATATGCTGGCTAAGAGAATCTCTGCTCCCTGGTCCACTGCTTTTATTACAAGGTCATAAATGCTATAAGCATGTTAAGAGGGATGGAATTAGGTTACCAAGTGCAATATTAAGTAGAGTGGTCAGTCTGGCCCGCGTTAAGAAGGTGACCCTTAAGCAAGGTTTGAAAGAGATGAGGAAGTCAGTCAAGTCATTTTATGGGGATGGGAGGCTCATTCCAGTTAGAGAGACCACCCTCTATAAAACCTATGGAGTGAGGCTTTCAAGGAATTTGGATTTTATTCTAAATGAGGAAGAGATTATCAGACATTTTTATAGTGGAATGAAATGATTTGGCTTATGTGTTAAAGAGCTACTCTGCTGCTGTGTGAACAGATTCTAGAAGGTGGAGAATGGAAGCAGGGAGAAGCCTATGAGATGACCTCAGTGAGCAGTGGCAGTGGGGCAAGGCCAGGTGGTAAAGAGTAGTGGTAGGAGGAGGTCAAGCCACATATACATTTCAAAGGTAGAGTCAACTGGATTTTCTGATAAATTGGATTGTACTTGCTGATAAGTGTTTGCATAAGTTTTGATTGAGACTTATTTTCATTGTTCTATTCACATTTTAGTGAAATTGTGGGGAGGAAATGTAGGGCTCTGCATCTCCAGACATCAGGGAATATGATCATTGGCCAAGATCCTAATGCCTGCGAGTGACCACAACAGTGCTAATATCATTTTCTGTCCAACAATATAACAGTTTTCCATTCTCTGGACTTTTATAAAACACAAACACTCACCCACAAGATTAGTCCACATGGAAAAGTGGGATGTGGAGGCATAGATAAAACAAACCCCTCAGGAGCACGAAAATTCAAAATGAAATCCCCCCCCCACACACACATTGTTGAATAAAATTAGCAAAATGGCATCGAGTTTGGGATTCAAGTCCCATGAATTCCTGTCCTAAGGCGTAATTTGAAAAACAAGGCATAATTTGAAAAACTCAAACCCAGAACATATTAACTTAGCCCACGCAGACTTCTGGGATGACTATAACCTTAAAGTATCCCTGTTATTACTTTATTCCTCCTTACACAGGCTCCTTTCCTTCCCGAGTAGCAGGAACCCAACCATCAGCCTAAACAAGGAAAGGGACTGGCAAGTTTTCTAAGCACAATTAGCATAGCATCAGATGCTGCTAACCTGAGGCACTTGATAATTTTCTTCCAGCCTCTGGAATGGTCATTTCCCAGGTGTTTACCCCTAAACCCTCTACAACCCACTAGAAATGAGGTATGTGCCAAAGATTTGGTGCATGATTATTTGGTTCTCAGACATTACATTTCAAAGACATTGAATCACAGAGTGTGAAAGTCTCTCTTTTCAGTTCTCAATCTCTCTCTCACGCTCTTTTTTTTTTTTTTTTTTTTGCTTGACTTCAAGAAGCAAGGGGAGTTTTAGTGCTCATATATTTTAGGATCTCTAACACTTGCAAATCTCTCATTTTAATAAAATGCAAGTAGAGTCTTTGATCCTAGTATGATATTCCAGACTTTAATGACATTTTATATTTGTTGGCTTTCATTGCTCTTATTTTTAAAGTTGCTTTGCTGCTTGTGATGTGGTTATGATATAAAAGTTTGTTTTTACACATGCAATTTGCAGCAACATGGATGGAGCTGGAAGGGATCATGCTCAGCGAAATAAGCCAGGAAGAAAAAGAAAAATACTGGATGGTCTCACTCATAGCAGGAATCTAGAAAGCCTAAATAAGGGACCAGGAAAAATAATAACTATAAGAAAGAAAAAATCAAAATCAACGAACAACTATGAACCAGAGACACTCTGTGGGGGGTGGGGGCGGGAAAGGAATGTTTGGGGTCAAAATAAGGGGGTTGCAATTGTATGGGGAATATAAAAATAAAATTTAAAAAAAAGTTTCCTTTTAAAATGCTTTTTCTTAGGAATATTTTTTAAAAGTAAGGCTATTCCCCCCAAAATAGGTATATAATACTATAGATGGCAAATGGATATGGTTAAAGAAATCATAAGGTTATTAGAAAACAACTGAAAATTGACCCAAAAAAAAGACTCAATTAGAAAAAGTAAACCCAATACCAACCATTTCCAGTGGTCTGACTTTGAATATGTTTCTGAACCTCCAAGGTTTTTTTTTTTTTTGGTGCAGGGAAGAAAGAGGGTTTAGGCCAGAGGCACAGGAGTGAAAGAATTTAACAGAGACAGAGGGGAGAACAGAAAAGCAGATTTATTGAAATTTTGATAAACTGCTAATGTTAGGGGGAAAAGGATGTCCCAAAGCTAATTCCATACAGACTTTGTGGACTCCACCCCCACCCCAGGTCAAAGCCAAAGACACTGGGAACTCCAAATCCCATCACCACCAAAGGGAAGGTAGCTGGGACCTGAGGTGGGGGTGGAGTCCACAAAGCCTGTATGGAATTAGCTTTGGGACATCACATTTACTAAGTTTTCTTTGACATAATACTGGTAATTTTTTTATGCCTTCTGTCCTGAATCCACAAAGTTTTTGTTTTGTTTTGTTTTGTTTTGCTTTGAGTAACCAGGATCTGCAGCAAGGTTGCAATTTTTTTTCCAGCAAAGCTAACTTGTCACATTTTCTCTCCCCTTGATACCAACACGGCATACAAATAGTGGTAGTAATTTTTGCTACTTATCTTAGAGTCTGTTTTTGCATAACTTCCATAGGGATTTTGTCTGTTTTAACAAAAAAATTGGA